CAAATCACCACCCCTACCACCACTAACAACAATGATAAGAGATAATAGTGAGGGAAAAGAGTACAATACCACCCGCCGAACAATGAGTATGACTCGACAGAACCCCTGTCCTTCTGGGTAACTCTCTGTTACCTCCTGGGCATGATGTGCTGTGGTATGGAATACCTCTTTGGTCAGTTTGGGTCAGGTGTCCTGTCTCTGCTTCGTCCTGGCTTCCCTTCCTCCCTGGCAGAGCATGAGGCTCACAAAGTCCTTGGCCAAAACAAAGCATCATTGTTATCAGCTCTGTTCCCAGGCCGAAAGTCAAAACACAGCACTGCACCAGCTACCAAGAAAAAGAAAAATGATTGCTACTGCTAAACCCAGGACAGTGCCTCTTTTATGGATGGGCCACTCCTTAATGCACTGTCAGTGAATCTATGTGCTGCCAAGTTACAATTCTCCTAGGTGGCAAGTCCTGTGTAGCTGTTTTTCTTAGAGGTGTGAGGAGATGGGCTTTGTGTTTTCTTTTGCTGGATCCTTTCTCTGACAGTCTTTAGCTCAGTTATGCTGGATCAAAGATGAAACACTGTTTTTGACATTCCAGGCATTCATATACCCTATATGAAATGCTTTGCTCTTTCAAAAAATAGTGTTCTACTTTAAAAGATTCATAGAAAATCATTGCAATGATTCACCGAAAAAGCCCAGAGTAGGCCTTGTATTTTCATCTCAATCTCTGAAGCAACAACCCTTGTCACTTCTGAGTCTAGGGGGGGCAATGCTTATATGTTGCCACATGATGTAGTCCCTATTTAATATCAATATTTTTATAATCTTGGTTTACTGGGTAGTCATAATACAGAAAGCCTTGCAAGGTGAGTGCAGAGATCCTCTCAACAATCACATAAATGTATGAGGAAGTCAGCCTTTAAGTGCTAAACATCTGCAGCCACAAACAGATGTTTATCTCAGAAGCTTATACTGTCTTCTATTTGAGAACTAGAAAGACAATTTTCACTTCAAGCAAAAGCAGAAATTAAATGTAATCAATATATTCTGTAAAACGTTTTTTAACCTTAAATGGTCTCCTGCAAGGTCGAAGCATGAAGACCCTCACATATTTCTAACAGAAGGAAGTCTATTTCTGGAGCTCTTTGTGCAAGACGGAAAGCACTGGGTTTGGTCTTTGTTGGAGTGCAGTGAGGAGCTCCTCTTCTGTAGCTCAGCATACAGCTCTGATGCAGGTCTTGTTCTGAAACACAAATACAGTGAGTTGCTTTCATGAAACAGCACCTTGATCCAAAAGAGGAGGGAGGAGGAAGGGCACAGGGAGAGAGCACTGCACAGTCCCCATTCAGGCACCTGAAGGTACATGGGAAGAGGAGTAGCAGGGAGGGGATGGCAGCAGCCTGGGCTTGAAGCCATGGATGGGTGAAAAAAAAGAGAGCAAAGTTAATTGCTTTTTGTTTCTTCTTCCACAGGAAAGCCTTGCTGCAGCAGAGGAGGAAGAGGGGAAGTGTTTTCAGCTGTGAGTAGTCCCTCCTGTGACACACAAGAGATGGCTAACTGGGGAAGAAACTCCAGGGATCTTTGCTCTACCTCCTTTCAAGTGGCAGCACGTTCATGAAACAGCCACGTCAGCAGTGGGACTTTAACCATGCCAACTTGATCAGGTGACCATTAGATTTTTAAGCATTTAACAAAGTGGATGGAACTGTCTGAAGAGATTGGTTTATCACCATTATAACTGAGCAGTTAATTCACATCAGATGAGTTGCCTTTTGCCTTTGTCTTTTCATGAAGTGATTAGATGGTGCTCAAAGCATTCATTAGTTGAGTTTTAAATCTCTTTCCTCGGATTGGTCCTTCCAGGAGCCTCACAATTTGGCCATATTTCAAAGAACCGCTGACATTCCCCTTACCTTTCTGCCCATGAGAAAGGCTTTTTGGTTGATAGAGGTCAAAAATATGTGAGAGCTGCTAATAGATCAAGACATAGTGAAGAAACAGGGTCCAGCCAGCCAGGCTGAGATACCACGGGCTCAGGCCTACTGGGTGTTGAGGGTCATGATGGGAAACGTAACCCAGCAGGACACAGGTACCCTAAAAAAAACCCAAACCCAAAAATCCTGCAGTGAGCTGCATCATTTATACTGACCGAGGAGACTAGAATTTTTAGCACTCCTCCAGCAAAAGTCTTTTGAACACGCACATGGCGTGCACTGACTTGCATGAACGTTTGCCAAGTAATAAGCAGCATGAAGACAGCCAAACTGCATTCAGGAGCAAACAGACAGTCTGGAAGAGAGCTCACTACATCTTCTTTGTGGGTGGAGGGAAAAATTGCCATAGGCAGAGTTTTATTAAAAATGTAATGGCAAAAAAAAAAAAATAAGAAAAAAAAAAAAAGAGAAAAAGGCAAAAAAAGCTAGCAGAAGAGCTAAAGATCAGGAAATAAATTAATCAATGTTCCTCTCAAAGCCAAAGAAGCCCTTAGGTCCCACCACAGCTGGCTTGACAAGATGACTACGTTGCAGGTGCTCTACATGTGGCCCATTTTGTTTCCAGGAGCATTCAGAATAACTGCATCTTAATACCTTTGTTTTTCCTTTTTACCCCCCTAAGGAGCTGGGTCATGATTTTTTCTTCTTCTGTTATTCATGTCTATCCCAGTAGCAGTTGAGAATACCATAAAAGGGGGTGAAATTCCATTGTGCTGGGAATTGTGTGGATGGTTAGCACAGAGAAAGGTTGTGCCAGGAAACTTTGCCATCCGGTTTAGACCATTGCATGGTTTAGTAGTTCACCCAAAGATTGCCTTCTGCACTGCACAGCTGGAGCCTCCTTGCTGTGTACCATGCCAATAAAAGGCTGATTGACATGCTAATAAAGACCTGCTTACAGAAGGATATTGAATACCATATTTAGGCTAAGAAAGATGGGCAAAATTGAAAGAAAAAATAACTGAAAGGATATAGTGCACTTTATTTCAAGGATATTGCGCACTTCAAGACTGAAAAGTCTGTGGAGTTTGCTACATTTTCTGAATACATTTTATATTTGGTTTTGCAACACTAGTTTGCTCTGTTATGCCAAAGGACTTAGCCAGTGTAAACAGGATGTCAGGGCTTGAAGATCTTTGCCCCATGTGATCCCCATGTGGCCAGCGGTGGGGACTGGTGAGGGGTAGCCAGTGCCACCAGTGCACCAGCAAATGCTGGAGCTGATCAGTGATGCTAAGTTTGCCTAGGGTCTGGATGTCCCTGCCAGCCTCAGTTACCTGTGATTCTGCTCAACTCAGGAATGAAGACACCTAAGTGCTGGTACCGGGAAATCCATACATGAAGGTTAAGGAGATATTCATTGCAGTCAAGCATAAACTCTGGTGGAGGTTTTGGCACCAAAATACAACCCCTGAAAAAAATGGTAATGCCTGGAGAGTCTCAGATGCCTACATCATGTATTCCATGGGAGAACTGTCACCGTAAAAAGGTGAAAGCTCTGAGTGGACAGCAGTAGCTGTAAGGCTACTTAAGGCATATTAATCGTACACTTCTCAGTTACACAGATTTAGTGGGCTGTCTTCTGGCTCACTTTAATACCAGCAACAAAATGACTGAGGCTTAACTACAGCCTTATCATAGATGCATTCAGGTTAGAAAAGATATTTAAGATCATGGAGTCCAACCATTAACCTAACACTGCCAGGTCCACCACTAAACGATGTCCTTAAGTGGCATGCCTACAGAGAGAACTGAGGAACCTAAAAGTATGAGCTCATCATCTGTGAATTCTCCATTCCCCTTTACCTCGGAGACTTATGGAGGTTTTACAGCACAGGGGTTAATGGGCCAGCAAGTCTGGGTATCTGCTAGTGCTGTTCTGCTAAAGGGCAGGATGGAGAGTGAGGGAAAGAGTCATTAGAAAACGACATGTGGAAAGGCCAGTGGACATACTGATCATGACATTCAGGCCTCTGGTGGGAAGGAATGGGCCTGAATCATTTTAAGACAGGGTTCATTTTAGGAAGAGTCCTCTTCCTATTCTGGATGTTGCAGAGATGAAGGACAAACTGGAGTCTGTGTTATTTTATTTGCTCCAATAAACATTTGCTTTACACAAAACAAAACAGACCAAAAACCCCCAAACAGTTTACAAAGCAAGTTAAGTGCTTGAAACTTTCAATATACAAGAGTATATATTGTTCACATTCCTATTTCATACATGATGTACAGGTGAAACATTCCTTAAAAGAATAAAACTGTCTTTTACATGTAGTAGTACAAACCCCCCCCTAAAATGTCAGTATTGTCAGGAACGACTGGACACCATGCCTTGACCTTCATCATGGATGAAGGAAGAAAACGGGCTGCAGTCCGGGCAGCCGAGGTGCATGGCTAGAGGGCAGTGGACCCCACTCCTGCAGCCCCTGCCCGCAGCTCTTGCCCCTGCCCACGCTTCACTATTTCTATGAAAAACATCCCTCCCCCCCAAAAAAAAAATTTGACATAATATCCTCTGAATTCCACTGTAGTTGTTGAGGTTTTGCCCTGCTCTGCTTAAATATTTCTGAGTAGTTTGGTTAAAATGAAAGGAAAATAAAAAAGCAGATACAAAACCATTTCAAATAAAATACTTGTCAACATAAACCTTAACTCCTATTGCATAAGTATGATTCCTATTGACTTACACAGCAATGTCTTCTAGAGAAATATCACTGTTTGTCTTTGTGTTTAATAAATTACACCAGCTACATCTGTAGAGGGCTGGTTTGTGCTGGCTGAATTTCTAATTTCCAAGGCCTGCTTACATGCTGTAGGGAAGAATAATGTGGAAAAAATCATGGCAAAACTCCTGAAGGCAAAACTATTAGCACTTATTAAACACACTGCTGTCATTTATATAGGCCAAATGTGATGTCAACTGCCTTAAACATTTTGGAGAACTGAAAGAATGCAAACAGTGTCTGAGGGATGCTTTTGGAACAAATTGTCTTTCTTGGGTTTTTGGTTTGTTTCTCTTAACTGCTGAGTTGCCCTATATGCAGGCAGTGCTGACAGCAGGATATGCCATTAACCTAATGCCATGGAGCTTTCCCTCCCCTCCAAGGTCCTTCTGCAAAAATAAAAGGCACTGGCCATTTTCTTTACTTTTCCCTACAAAACAGAGAGGACATGGGCTGTGGAGTGTCAAGCAATTAGACACGATGTATAGGGAAAAAAATGTTTGTTCTTACAGCAACACAATCAAGGTAAAAGGAATGGAAAAAAAATAGTACTGCCTGCACTCAGAAAGCACAGCAAATATAAAACATCTGCTTGGATTGCTGGCCCTGTTTTGTTTTGTATCGTTTGGGGGTGGGGATGGGAGGAGGGAAAAACTCATCCTGCTGATGTTTTGCAACCTGCTTGCAAGAAGCTTGAGTTCAAAGCAATAAACATGTAACATTAATGACCTCTGTATCAAAACAGATATCAAAACAGTTTTGGGAGGGACCAAAACTCCATGAACTTTCATTCTGGGACACTGAGGATGTCGGTGTTAAGGTGAGAGGGAGAAGGCACGCCTGAATTTCCAAGATGTGCTGCAGACTGGACCATGTAGCTACAACTGCAAAGCCAAACTGGTCTGTCCTATGTGAGACTGCTCCTGCAACTGTGAACTGCAGGCCCACAGCCAGCTGGCTACTGCACATGCTTTGAAAGCCATCTTCTTATCAGATATTATTCCTATCTTTTTGGCAGAGCGCTTAGTGCACAATTGCTGGTGTTGTGCTATGCCAGTCTCCCCAGGCTCCGACCATAAGCGGAGGGATCTCCAACACATCAGTAATTTCCTGGAAGCACTTGTTTTTGTTTTAACTCTTTTTTTTTTTTTTCAGAGCATGGCTGTTTATAGATATATAGATAGATATATATATATACATACACACATTTTATATATATATGTATATATATAAATAGCATTTTCATAGTTATATACAGGCATTAATAAAGTGCATAATGTTATTAGCTATTTTCAAATCCCATTTCCTGAGGAAGTGCTAACATATATAGCTCCTCCTATGACATGGTGCCAGCAGCCAGTACTAGGGTATGACACCTACTCCTGGCTTTTAATTCCGTGAATACATCTTCCTGTCCAGAGCCAGAGCCTACAGGGAGTAGTGACAGCCTCAGTCCTCCAGGAAGTAAGTCAAGTCAGTGATTGAGACTTCTTTCTTTGCCAAGGTGAATGCATCTAGGAGTGATTTCCCCGTTTTGGAGCTCTCGGGTGCATGCTACTTGGCAGTGGTCACGGAGCCATCTTCAGGAATCTTCTCCTCTGAACAGCTTCTTCCTGAGAGCTTGTCATGATGCTTGAACTCACTGAAGCGTTCCGCAACACACTGCGCCGTGAGCCGGGCCTCGGGGTCATGGTCCCAGCACTCAATAAGAGTTTCACACACCATCTGTATGCCCTGCAGAAAGCACAGAGAGAGCAGTCATGATAGGGCCAGGTACCGCCAAAGCCCATGTGTGTTAGTTGTGTTAGTGTCCTCTGAAGTTCAGGGCATTATACGTGTGTGTCCTGGAAGTGCTCTGTGGGCTCTTCTGCTACATATATGTGGGCATGCTTTTCTTGTTGGGTTTTTTTGTTTTTTCGAAGAAACCCTATTACAGTATTTTCACCACTTCAGTTGGTACTAAATGTATTTTCTGATCATTTTAACAAGAACAATGATGCTTTGGACTGGTGCTATAGAATCAAGTAGTTTTGGGGTTTTTTAATAAATATGATCAGAATTCTTGGATAATGTGACTTCCCACTTAACCCATGCCTTTGTGTATGTGAATTCTGTTTGAGTTTTTCAAAAGAAATTCTGCTTGTCAGCAATATTGAGCCCTACATAAACTCTTTATTAATTTCTTGCAGACTAACTAAATCTATGTGCAAATATGGGCCACAGTCCCACAAACACTTAAATACGTCACTCACAGATGTAACTATTTAACCTTCATTTCAATACTGATGCATGTATTTACAGGAGCAAAACACAGTTGCATCTCTGTAATGCATTTTATAAACATGAGGTATTTGCCAGCAAATTGTGTACTTTGCTTTATGACGCTAAAAGCTCGTTAAGTAGGATTTATCTAAAACTTCCCATTTAAAAAAAATAACATTCCAGAAGACTGCCTTAATTGCATAATTTACCTAATTGGTGATGTTGACTGATGTCAAATGTTAATAGCAGAACATTATTGTCTGTGTACAAATAACATTAGTTTTCTGCTGGCATTGAAATGACAAGCAGTAAATTAAATTAAATATTAAACATTAACTTGAAATCAGCAGTGCAACAAATCTCATTAAAGGGGGGGGTGGGGGAAAGGGAAATTGTAATATGCAAATCCACTCCAGAATTTCATCACAATGAACAATGAGTTCATTACAAAAACAAGCCTGCAGAAGAAGGAAATGAATATGGAAGAGCCATTACAGTAAGGTCAACTTCTATGGAGCTTAAAGCAGATTCTCAGCTGCTGCAAACTGTCACAGCCCTGCGGAAGCCAATGCATCACTGCATTTTAGACAGCACAATGTGAAACCCTGAAAGGATTTAGATGAAGGGTATTAAATCCACTTTTATTAAATGTCTTGTGAGTGTGTTATCAAGCATCTATTTCCTGCCTTAGACTTTTAGCTGAACTCTGTTGGAGCCAGCTCTGCCTATCCTGGTGACACACAAGCGGAGATGCTTGGTCCTCCCAGTTGGTGGGTGCCCTGTACTGAAGGCAGAGTGAGGTCTGGGTTTTACACAGGGAAGAAATCTGACGTCGAATGCAGGACACTTAGGTCCCAATCTGCAATCATTTTGTTTGCTATGTAAACCCAAAGGCGATGAAGTTTAGCTCTACTCCTGTACCTCAAGCACACACTCGGGCTTGCTGCTATGAGAGCAGCTGTGGTGCCTGAGCACCATGGGGATCCTGAGCCCAGTGCTTCCCTACACAGGCACTCTGGGCATGCTGACACACCTACACCTGCTGCTACAACTGGCTGTGCGTAAAATGAGCTCCTGGACACTTCTCTGCAAGGCCTAACCAGTGGTACTGCCCACTTTTACTGCCATGTAGTGCAGTGCCACACTGCAGTGGGGCTCTGTCCTGAATGCAGACAACTTTCTGGGCCACCTAAACTGCTCCAGGCCTCCTCTGGTGCCAATGACTTGTGCTTTTAGGCGCCTTCATCACCTTCTACTACATGCAGGTCATCTGGCTCTTCAAATGCAGAAAAGAAATATTTGCTGAACACTTCTGCCTTTTTTATTAGTGTATGCAGTATCTTTCATATCCAGCAACAGACTAGTACAAAGTTAGATTTTTTTTTTTTGCTCTTGATAAAACCCTGTTTATCCTCAGGTTTGCTGTCCAGAGATCTTCCTATTGATCTTCTGCTTCCCTAAGCAGTTATCTACCCTTATTTTCTTTAATTTTTCTCATGTGAGACCTTGTCTTTTGAATATCCTGAGAAATGTTCTCACACTGTTCCTAATTTTAAACATTTTATATTATTTTATTTTTCTCTCAAATGAATAGGCTCAAGATTCTTTTCTGCTTTGCTAATTGGGCTCTTATAAACTACCACATATGTATTACTAGTTTAGACTTCATTTTTCCTCTGTGGAAAACAAAGAAGTGCAGTCAACTCCTGATTCATTTTACTAGCTCATCCAGAATTTTTATAGAACTTCTGCAACTAGTTATTTTCTATCAAGATGAGCACTTGTATAACCTCTCCTTTCCAGCTCAACTTGTTAGAAGATAGTTGGCTCCTAATAAGATCTATGGCTCCTAAAAACGTAAAGAGATTTTTAGTGCTGCTAGTATCAGATATCCACATGTCCCTCAAAATACAGCTTTCCTCCCCAGTTAAAAGCCACTCCTCAATAACCCTACTTATCACAGATGACTACATAAGTAGGAAGTCCCTGTGGTCCAGGAAGGGGCTACACACTGCTATAGTCATAAGGTGGCAGATGCACTGTTCTTGTTTAGAAAGATGATTGATTTTGGCCACTCACTTGGCCTTCCTTAAGTAGGTGTTAGACTATGATTTTAACATCTCAACTGAATGAAAAAGGCGGTGTTTCATTGCTCCTGATGGAAATACTAGCTGATCTTGTCTGCCTGGGCTTTTATAAATGTCCACAATGTGTTTTGTCTGTAAAGACCACTCAACATATTTCACTGAAAAGTGGAACAACGAAGCCTTGCTTCTTCTCTGATATAATTTTCATTTTATCTCTGCTGATAAAACAGCTCATAGCAAAGGTGAAGAAATGCATGCCTTTGGCATGCTTCCATTCAGTTTCATCTACTGAGAAATCTACTATCACCTAGGAAGTGCAACCATGGTGTCAATGAATGGGGAAAAGCTAGCAGAGTGCTTCATGACTTGCAAGGGAAACAGACTGCTAACATGCAACCTGAATAAAACCAGACTCGCTTGCTGAAGACTCATTTCCTATTTTCTTAAACTTGTCAACAGCTGGGATACAACTATGACTGGTCTCCATGATAAAGTACTGAGATTTATTTTCTCTGCTGAAGGGGCCCTTGTGCGAAGTTGTTCTTTTTGACCTTTCAGAGCCTGCACACAGTGTGCTTTAAGGCTCTAATTACTCTGTGGTTGTCTGGATGATTGTCAGATCTCAGGTTTTCAATCTTTTTGTTTTGGTCACTTTCAGATTGCAGTGGTGGGCAGCAGAAATCCTACGCCTTGGGGGTAGGTGTGATACAGAGCACTGTGGTGCCTTAACTGCTGCTGCACCAGTGTGTCACCATGTGACAGAGCTCTAATCTGTGCAAAAGAGATGTCCAGCCTGCTGAGCAGGGCACTGATCTAAGGCTCAGACTTCAGGAAGCAGTCAAATGTACAGTGCAGCTCCCAGCTGTTCACATGTGGTGTTCTTACCTGATGATGAAGCCAGGAGCTGGGGATCTCAGGTCGCCCTCTGTCTCTTAGGACACTGTCCTTCATGCTTTCCACACAGGGGTGTTCTCGCACTTTAGAGCCGAATGGGGGCTCATACTCTTTCACTTCTGCCAAGAAAATAAGCAAACACAAGGGTATTCAGCTATGCTGCACTGGTGCCAAGTGTGAAGGGAGCTGACTGTTCTCTGGAGGAGTAGGAGCTACTGATTAGCCGCTCAAGTGCCACTGTTCTGCTTGACCAGCTACAAACAAAGCAAAGCCAGTTGGCATTTTCAAAAATGTTTCAGATGTGTTTCTCCCACATGCCCCCTCCCTGCCCTTTTCTTTCCTAAACAATTTTCATTCAAACCCTTTAGTACATACTCATATTAGCAACAGTCAGAGCAGCAGAAAAACCAATAATGATTTGCAAGACTTTCAATCTGTGCTGAGGCAAAACACACAGGAGCCTCAAGGTGAGTTTTGCTTGCACCAGGCCTGCAAGAATCAGCTGCCCTTAGGTCCCCCAGAGTTCACACACATGTAGCAGGTGAAATATGAACTGAAACCGATCTATGTCATGATAGATGTTAATGTGCCAGATTGCTAGGATGAAATAGTTGCTTGAAAAGAACAAAGATATAATAAAGAGCAGTGCTGGAAGCTGCCATGCTGCCCTTGTTTATTACTGAGCTGTGTTCGTTTATAGAAAGTAGTAGTCTGCTCTTATTTTAGGCCTCTTTCCCAAAATGGATCAGTTTTGGCCCATGATGTAGGGGCACAGCTTCCTGAAGGGGCTGCTGCCATTCTAGTTTTTGTTTGCATGTTGCATATTTTCTTCACTTTTCTTTGGAGAGAGAAAGGAAGAAGCTGACATATGGGACCTTTGGAGAAAACTCAAGAAATCTCTGAGAGCGGAAATATTATAGCAGATGCTGACGCAGTGTAGAAAATGCTGTGGTTTCTTTTGGGAACAGATGGAGACTTTACTCACAGGCCTAATGACTTGCTAGTACCAGATAAAGATTTATGAAGCTGGCTTGTTCTGCTGCCTCCTATTTCTTTCTAGGAATTAATTGAGGGCAAGAAAAACTGAAGTGTAATCTACAAGGCAGTCTGGGGAATACATGTGAGTGCCCAGAAGATGTGTGAAGAGAGATGAATGAGATGGGAGACACAGTACTGTTCTGTAATGTTACAACCAAACTTCAAATGCAGTGTCCAAAGCTGCTCACTACTCTCAAGGGGCATTTTACGGTAAAAAAAAGCTCTGAGAAGGGTGATAATAATGATTAAAGGCCCATAAAATTTGGAAAGAAACTCTAAAGCTTGGCTTTGTTTACTTTGGAGGGAAAGGAACAGTAATGTGTCATACGATAAAGTAACAAAAATAACTAATGATCAAGATGACATAAGTCAGATAAAAACCTGATGATATGGTATCATGATAAAAAAACCCAAGATGATATTGTAAAAAAGATAAAAACAAATTAGTATGGAATATACTAAAAGGTGGACTCTAAAATCTTAGAGTTAGGCTATAGCTCTGATTTCTATGCAATGGCCGTGGGATGAAGACGTTATCAGGCTACAGAAAAAGAATTTCTAATGCTTAAAAATAATAGCCAAGTTACTATAACAAACATTTTGGAAAGCATATTCAACTTTGTGCTTCACACAGTGTTTAGAGATCCAGCTGCAAACAACTGCGTGCAGTGCAACAGATCACCTCACAGATGCCTCCTGCAAGAGCTCTCCTTCCTTCTCCTGAACCATCTGGTGCTGGCCACTGTCCACACAATGCTCTGGAGAGGGGCTATAATCCCAAAACACAACTCCTATCTTCTCATACGTAAATCACTTTCTTTCAGTCTCAAGGGTCAAAGTCTGCTTTGCTTTCTTCTCTCTACAAGAAGGCATACCATTTTCACCCAGATTAATTTCAGTTAAAGATTACTCAGCCAAAGTAAATTTACAAGACTTTAGCCCTAGAAGTTAATTGGGAAGTTGCCATCTTGCCGGTCAGACCTGGATTATTATAAAGTGGATGCTCAAAGATTACAAAGCAGATGCCTTTACTTTCACAGCTAACCAAAATATTAATGTTCCCTGAAAAATTTAAATAGCATGACCTAGATGTCCATTTCCTACATCTTCATCAGCCATAGTTTGATTGTGGTAGTGGTCATGGACAGCAGCCAAAGCTCTGAGATCTTGCAGTATGTGGAGTCAGAGGAGTCACAATACCCAACAGAGGGATGCTGTTGCTGTACTACTGACCCGTTCCTCTTGCTGAGGTTAATTCAAAGGCCATTCAGGTTTGATGTCTGTTACTATGTTTTCCCTGTTTGAGAAACTCTTTCTATGATACAAGCGTTCCTCTTCCAAATATAAAGACTGAACAGTTTTTTTAGGTTTGTTTTGGTTTGGGTTGGTTTGTTTGTTTGTAGTTCTTTTATGGTAAAGAAAGAGAAATCAAGGCCAGATGCTAATTTGCTGCAATGACTCTGTAGTAATAGTCATGTCTTCCCTCAGTTTGAAAAGCATGCAGATCTCCTTCCTTCTCTTTCGTTTACAAAGAAAAGCCCACTGAATCCTCTTGCAGTAAATCATCCTGATGCTGTGGAATCTCAGGTGTCAGACACATTTTGCAGTAATAGCTGGGGTTATTCATGGATCATGTTGATGTGCTACAATAGATATAACAAATGTCAGTTTGAGGCAGGTTAAGATGTTTGTGCCTAGCTGCTTGTGCATGCCTGTATACAGACACTGAATCTATTTTTCATACCTTATATGTTTCTTTTGATTGTTTTTACACCAGTCAGGCACTAAAAATGACAACTGGCTGAAGTACCATGAATACCTCAGGCACTATGAAATACAGCACCTTTAGTGTTCAGTAATGGCAGAGTTCTTTCAAATTTAACATCCAGCATTTAATCTTTATGGTTGTGAGCTACCTTGCACTAATAATTGCTGTATCTCTGGTGTCCTTTGACACTGGCCTGGCCATAGCTCCCAAAAAGGCTGGGATTGGATTTTTAGCCCCAAAGAGAGACATTACTGAAGATTTATTTGTTGTGCCTGTTGAATGCTTTGGAAAATTTGGCTGTGGGTTCCTCATGAAAAATATGCCTTTCTCATGTGTTCTCTTTTTCTACTCTAAGCTCTTTGCAGTGAAATTCTCTTCCTTTGGGTCAAAACAGCGTACCCACAAACCTTGTATATACTCCCTCTTATGATCTCTCTTGTTGATTTCTGTGGGACAGCTTTGAGGGAGGCTCACTTGCAGAATTAAAGGAGTGAGGTGAAAGGCAACCAGCAAAACTTAGCTGTGAAGCACAGTCCACAGCAGTGGGCTGTGGTTTGGGAATTTTTAGATCCTTTTGAAATACCCCTCCATTTAGAGTTTACAAGGGGAGAGCCACATAAGGAATAAATCAATCAATAGTAGAGCTACTGTGACAGCTCATGCACACACCCATGTGTGTGTGCAGATTGTGTCTTTCTTCATGCCAGAGGAATCTGGACAGTGGATCTGTTTAGCTGTTGCACAAAGGGATAATAATGAATAAAGCAGGGGCTTGAAAGCCACTTCATGGCCATGTTTAAGGAGCTGTTCAAATGCTTACTTCACATTTTTCGTAGGTTTCCCTGTTTGTCCTTCATAGAATCATAGAATTGTTAAGGTTGGAAAGGACCTTAAGATCACAGAGTTCCAACCCCCGATTCCATGGGCAGGGATGCTTCAGAGTACAGATGCTAGCTGGGAACGGTGAGGGTGTGTTGGAATGGGTGAACTCACTGTGCATCTTCCCTTGCACAGATATCTTTTAAGTGACTTCATATCTGATGATCAAAGACACAGCCACTCTTTCAAAAGTTTGGGAGTGCACAAGCTCTACCTTCAGTGTATGGTCACAGGATGCTTAGTCAGTATGTGCTGGATCCTGAGGTGGGAAAGTAGAGGAACATAGAAGACATCAGTGTAGTGCTACCTTGGGCTTCTTGAAGGATGGCACTTGCTACCCTACATGTAGTACTGTGGTGACACTCCGAGAATTTCTAGGGGATGAATTACTGTTATGGAGTGATGCTGCACTGTCTGGACGTACCAGCTCGAGGTTATATGCCACCACAAGCCAGCGCAGTGCACACATGCCTTAATTGGGCTCCACTCCACAGAAGGAAAGGAGGAAAGGTTTAAATCAGGCTGCAGCTGCAGCCACCTCAGGGCCCTATGTGCAGGCAGAGCCCCAGGCTGTACAGGCTATCAAAACACTCCCTGTCACCAGAAACTGTCACCTCTCCACATCAATATGATGAAAGCTGAGCATCTCATGAGGTGCAGAATGCACAAATAGCTGCCACCCTAATAGTCCCGTCCCGTCCCCCCCAACAGTTCTGATACAAAACAGATGGTTTTTTTTTCTTTCTAGGAGGCTGTCAGAGAAATTACACTTGCCTCAGTCTCCAAAGCTGTGTTGCTCTGAAAGCTAGTGGTTGAGATGGAAATTATATTTCTTGCAACGTGCAGCATCTGGTGCACAGCTGTTGTGCTGAATGAAATACCAAGTTAACAGCAGCGTGGAGCAGTTCAAGTTCTCCCCAAAGTAGTATTACTGAGTTTCTAACTATGCCTCCTAAATTACACTCCAGTGAAAAATCAGTCAAACTCGATCTTTGCCTCTGTCTCCCTTTCCCTTGTGCCCCATTTCTGCTTCTCCGTATTTAGCACAAAAAAGTAACAATGAACAGCATGGCCTTTCTCAAAAGCCGATCCCCACCTGCTTATTTACTACAGCAGCTTCACAGTATGGATTATGCTGCTGGATATTTTTGTTTAAACGTTTGCTGACTGAAAAGGCCTGGCACAGCATGGAGACTGTTTGACAAAGCTGCTGCAGTGAAAGGACCTGCCTCCATTGCCTCCCACACTCACCAAACACCTGCACGCTGACAAACGAATCCTGAGAACTCCCTTTGTGAAAGAAGTCAATGACTGTATCTTTACAGGGCTGAATAGCAATTAGCCCCCCTGCCCCATGTTTTCATCCCTAATGAAAGTTGTTAATGCCACTGCCTTGGCTTAGGGTGCCACTCCTGCCCTCTTAAAAAGCCACGGGCTTTCTCTAGTAACAGTGAGCTGACACCATGGTCAAGCCTGCCCTGCAAAGACGGTGCCTACATCTTTAGTCTCCTTTGGAAAGGGTGGCTGCAATCAGGTCAGCCTGCTCCAGCTTATACATGAAGTCATTTGTCTCAGTGCCTAAACAGTAGGAAGAAAAGAGGGGTTTGCGTGAGCAGAGGCAGCACCTCAGGAAGGCTGCAAGGAGAGGAGGGAGTCTCATGAGTGACAGATGGAGAGGGAAAGCAGAGGGGAGCTGTAGTCATGAATCATTGTAAGGGTATTTCACCAGCTGGTTGCAAAGATAGCCAGGCTGCATGAACCAGGGCAAAATCTAAGAAGGAAATGAGAGATACTGTGCAGTGCTGCTGCATCTCACTACCAGTCACAAGGGAGCTACATCCAGTATTTAACTGCTCTGTATGGAGACACTAAGACAGGTTCCACCCCCTAAGATTGGCCCAAGTACTCTCATGGTTTTGCTGGGGACTTCACCCCTGGAAAGATAACGGAAACAGAGAAATGAAATTCAAGAAATGTGTTTCTTGCAATGAGGACGACTGAGGGACAAAATGAACAGGGAAAATCAGGATGTAAGCAGGCATTAAGCTTCACCTTGAAAGCAAAGGGAATGGTGTGCCAGATAAATCTTTCCTTTTCCTGAAATGACTTCAACTCTTCTTTAGGTTATAATGGGTCAGTCTCCTCTAGCTAAACATGCTGGTGATTTTCTTTCCTTATGAAACTGCCTTTATATCCTCTTTTAGGCAGTTGCCTTCTGAGAGCAGCAGCAATAAGGTTTGCTTTTGCCACAATCTCCATTTCACCATACTCGGCAAATATGAACAGGAAGGAACTCAGGCATCAGCAAAGATGAAAGACTTCACAGCAAACAGCTCATATTTATATTAATAAGGTGAGTTCCTAAATGCAAGAAACAGAGAGAGCTCAAGAGACAGGGCAAAGATTCTTTTTCTCAGGTTTTAAATCTCCTCAGCCACATTTACAAAGTGCTAGTGAAAGGCTAAGGTTGCACCAACGCACTTAGAAACAGGCATGACCACGACCGTTAAATGTGGATAGGTTTGCCTTGGAATATGCCAGACTGAGGTTCAGTTCCTGAAGCACCAAATGTTTTTTCCCTGAAATGTTTGAACAGAATTTTTTTTCACGCTTTTATGCTAGCACTAGATTTCTGCACACATATTCTCTTTGTAGCTTTCCCAGCAGAGTGCAAACAGGGGCAAATCTGTTGCCCACAATCCAGCCCACACAGCAAGACCAAATGCTGGTCAGGCACAGGAGGAATCTGAGGTGGAAGCATTCCTCCCCTCCTGCACACATGCACTGTGATGCAGCCACACAGTCACTGTGCAGAGTGGCTGCAGAGACCTCCATGGGCACCCTTGCAGTATCCCACAGATCTTAGCAGAGAAATAAGAAGCAGCTATGCACATCTTCCCATGGCACACTCGTTTCCCTCCTGTACTAGCCTAGTGCTCTAGACTGCAAGATTGCCCTGGCTGTGTGGCAGCCCTTCAAGAGGCAACCATTCCAGGTCTGATGAAAATGGAGCCTCTGTAGTTTTGGAAGAAGGGTAACAAATCAAATCATGGTTGCGTATCTACTATAATACCCACATCAGTGTTACCTTTTACAGCCCCACTCCTTAGACTGCCTGTGAAAGCCCTGGACTGTGCAGCAGGTTTTTTTTAGTATGAATGTTAGAGAATTCCAGCAGACTGAAGACTTTTATATGCAATTTTAGCCTCATTTTAATCCCTGAAGTAAGGTCAAAATCTTCAAACATGGCAATATGTAATGCAGATATCTCAACAGCAACTTTTCTGATTTCTAGCACATACCAGTGCTGCACACTGGGAATCCTGGGGGCGCTTTAGGTGAAACAGAAATGGGGACTTTTTTTCAGTGATCAAACTCTGAATATGAACAAGCATAGCAGCTTTTCCTGGAGCTATTCTGATAGTCAGTTCCCATCATTTTTATTTTGTTACTGAATTTTATACAACAAACTTCCCTTGATTTCTCATAATGATGATCTGTTGCAACATCACAAAACATTATGAATAGCAGCTGGGGATTTTCAGAAAGCAAGAAGGCCTTTGTATCACTATGATGGCTTTTACTGAAATGATCAGCTAGTGAATGTGACACTTAATTGACCCTCATTAGGTTTCAGAATTAGCATTTCATGAAAGTAAATGGGAGGCAATTATCACTTCTTGGTCTTAATATTTCAAATTGTCTTATGTTTCCAACCATTTTGGGTGAAGTCAATCAGACTGAGTCAATCCATGGGTACTTCAGATGTTATAGGAAAAAACCCAGACATTAATAATCTTTAAAACTGGTCTACCTAAGCAGTAGGACTGATTTATCCTTACACCAATCAAAGACCCATTTTCTTCTGCACTCAGGTGTTTGCCCTTCAATCTTGCTTATGCACACATGTGTCTTGCTGCCGAAGGCCTGTTAATTTATAGCACCCAGATACGCCAAAAAAACTGGCGAGAGTTAAAAAGAATTGCCTCCTCCCCAGACAACTACAACAGCATGTCTGTCTAAACATACTTTTAGAAAGAAAATGATGGCACTTACCTCCAACTCCATTACAGCGAGATGTCATTTCCCAGAGGACCAAAGCCATGGAGTACACATCTGTTTGTTTAAAGGACTCCACATTCTCCAGGTTCATCCTGGACTCTAGAACCTCAGGGGCCATGTACCTCGCTGTGCCAACCTACAAGAGAGGAGATCAGGGAAAGCTCAGGAGCTGAAACTGTAAATCATAGTTTGGATTCTGCTGTGATTTAACTTCAGCTTTCACAGAAACAGTGCCATTTGACATGTATCCAAAAATTCTGGCCATACTTGGCACAGGCCGTATTTTCTGCTGCCAGGGGAATCTGGCAATGTCCTGACTACTAACTTACTTGAACCTCTCTCTTGGTAAAGGGAAAAAAAAAAAAAAAAAAAGCCCTTTTTAGTTCCTTAAGCAAATAATTTTGGCACTGACAAACTCTCTCACTCTCTGGCTGTTCGCAAATAAACTCTGCCCTTTGGGCCTGAAGCAATTGCTGCTGACTGTCTTCCCGATGAGCAAAAACCACATTGTACTCTTTTGCGCTGCATATTACAGTGTTAGCTGTTTCTTTTCACAGTAGGCTTAAAATGAAAGTGGTAAATGCAGGCCTGGCAGAAGAAAGCAAATACACAAATACTGAATGCAGAAGCATGCATTTGAATCAAAACCAAAGATCAGCCCCTTTGTTTGAAAAGCTGTTCTCATAAACTTTATTCATACTGAGGAATTTTCAGCAATGATTTTAGCTGCTTTGTTGAGATTTAGATTATGTCCTTGCATTACAGAAGACAAAGTTTAAATGTCTGTTTTTATCACAAGAAAGGGTTTAGGGAAGAATCTGTGGATCACTCAACAGTTGCTCTGAAATGACAAAGTCTTCACAGGAAGGTGTCTGGTTAATTGCAGAAATGAACAAGCACAGGTGGGTGATGAAGTAAGACCTGTGATTTATATGAGCTATTTGCACTACACCTTGACAAGTGGCAAGTAGAACTGCAAGAGATCATTCCAGTTACTGGGTCTGCAATCGCAAGAAGCCATGCAGTAAAGGTACATTTCTGAGAGACCTACGACATCCATTTTACAAGCTTTTGTACATGTCTTATCACCCTAGGCTCAGGGCAAATGGGAAGATGTTCCACAAAAAGTGCAATGTACTGTAAGAAGGCAACAGGAGAGATGAATGACATGGGTTTGTCACTGGATTCTGCAACATCAGAGAATTTCTGTCAAAAATATGCAAATGGTAGTAGGATCAAAACCTTTATAAAGAGAGGACAGAAAGAAACCTGTGTGATCAGTCCCAAAATTAAATTTCCCACTAAGTGGTCTCTCTGATGAATTTAAAGCCAAGCATGTGAGCAAGAGCCTTACATTGAATGGGTACCTGGGACAATCATGTCTCAGCATCACCGAGATTATCAGCATCTTCCTCCTCTATGGAACATGAATGTATGGAAACTGCAGCAGATGTTGTTCCTACCCCCTGTTTATTCCCCAGCATATAACTTCTTCCCCAAGCAGATCTCATCCAAAGCTTAAGAAGGATTACCTGTACATGGTCCACAGTCTCATACCTTCATCCCAACTGATTTTAGCAAGAATTAATGGGTCCTAAATACAGATTCATAACATTGTCACAAAGTGGTGTTCTGATCTGACATTTCACACCCTCTTTGCAGCAGAAACAATGATTCTGCAGCTTTGCTGAACGATGGAGGATGAAGCCCTGTAACTGAACAGTACAATGGGAAATGCAGAGAGAAAATTATTTGAGGAATGCTATCAAGTCAATCCTATTTCCATCCTTAGGATTTATCATTCCACTCTGCATATGTCCTTTTATCTGCATTTAGATTATCGAGTCTTTGGGTCAAAGACATTTTTCATGTATCTTGAGGAAAGGTGACCCCTGAGTCCCAAAGGCATTTTAAGTACCTAAACTCCATCAATTTAGAGCTGGTACATCCCTCTAGAGTCTGGATATTCTTTCTCTTTGCAAATACCAGTCTGCTTTCAGTTCTTGTTTCTCCAAAGCTTTTAGCAAGTGCCCATCTCTCTTCCTGCAGTGACTTTTGAATCTTTTTTTTACAGGAGATCTTACACTTCTTTTAAGAGTCAGATGTTTACAAACATTAACCATCATGGATGGACAAACTGAAAAGACTGCAAAGGGGGAAAAAGACAGGTTCCAGCCAGTCACTAAGGGCACTAGTATTGTATAGACAATAATGGCTATATTTGCATGATATGGAAGGTATTTGGATAGATCAGAAAGAAGATGGCTTTGTAACCCCAACAACTTGCCTTACTAAGACTGACTAGAAAAATGGTAAAATACACTCTTTTATTTCTTTCATAGGAAGCTAAACTTTTACTTGAATTAAAAATGGGTCAGCTCCATTATATACTTAAAAAAATTGGACCTCCTGGTGGGAAGGGTTTGAGTCAAAGTGCAAAGTTTAGAAATTATGCATAACATGAAGGCACTTTCAGTAAAAGCTACAGCACTGACATTGGCACGTTGGGAAAGTAACACTTGTGTGCCCAGAAGAACCAAGGTGGAGGTCAAAATAGAATCACTTCACACCATCATACTACTTGTCACAGAGGGGAATGACACTAGCGGGGTCAACCCCAGATTCACTGGAGCTAAACAAAATGAAACAGTGGGCCTCAACACCAGTGCCCAAGGACACCGACACCAAAGCAGCAACCTGCTCAGAGCAGCTTTGCTCTTTGTTAGTGTCAGTGTAGACTGTGGAAGTGGCACAGTATCAACACTGTCCTCCTACTTCCAAGTGACTGTGAGTGATGCCAGAGAAATCAGCTTGAAATAAGGGGCAGCTTTAAGCAATCAAATTGTTTGTGGGGTTGAGTTTCAGAGCCCCTGCCTTACACTGCTGAATACTCTGTTTTCACTTTATCCCAAATGGGACCAATCTTAAGGCTGAGAATATGGTATGACTTCATTTGAACTCCAGAAAGGTCTGGTGAGAAATGGTATGTAACTGTGAGTGGTGTTTTTATTATTTTAAATATGGCTCCACTGGCTATCATTCATTCCTGCCTATGATTAATAAACCTTCTCAAAATGAGATTAGGACAGTTGCATCTCACTAAAGAGACTTTCAAAGACAGATTTTCATTAGATAAACAACAGCAAAGCTCTTGAGAACTCAGCAGAGCACTACTGACTGAAGAGGAGTCCCTGACAATGCTCTAAAACAAAATATTAGTTCCACATGAAGTAAAAGTCGTCTTAAATGAACAGGCTTCGAAGGGACCTATGTATAAAAATATAAAAATCCATGTATGTATGTATAATTGAATAATTAGGAATCAATTAACAAATAGTCTGAATTTATACTATGAGTTTTCATCAGAAGAGCCAATATTTACAGATGTACTTGAAAAATTTAATCTTTGAAGCATTCATAAACATTCCCCTGGCATCCCTGTGAAAGAGGTGAGTGCTACCCATGCTACCTAGTTGAAAAAGCACAAAAGGGCAATTATTGTTATTTGACATTCTTGCGTTTGCTTTTATGTGGAGAATGTACCAAACAAGTTTATTTATTTTAAATAAACAAGTTTATTTTTGTCACTTCAAAGTTATTATCTACCACTTAGTTATCTGCTTACACCTCTTGAGGACAGAAGACAGACTTCACATATGCTGGGGTAGGCCAGGAGTGGGTCTACTCACACAAAACTAATGCCATCAGGCATGAAAACTGTGGCACAACCTTACTATGTGAAGCACATCCTTATCATATGTCTGTTTGCATTGACTGCTGTTGCTTTAATGTTAAGTTTACAGCGTGTCTATAAACACTTTCACATTAATTTTTAATGACTTTGAGGGGCTTTTTCCTCCCCTTTTTTTTTTTTTTTTTTTTTGTCCCAGGAACTGAGACACCAATTGGCACAAGACACAACACCCTCTTCAAACTTTTAACTTACCTGTCCACTGTTAGCCAAGTCATCCACAGACAAAGAGGGATCCAGCCTCAGGGATAACCCAAAGTCACAGAGACAGCAGGTTAAATCATTTTTCACCAGGATGTTGGAACTCTTTAGGTCCCTGTGCACAATAGGTGTTTTGGGGCGACCACAGGGTGTGTGATCACTATGCAGGTGGGCAATCCCTCGGGCCAAGGACCCACCCAGTTTCCAGAGGTCCTCCCAGCTGATAATGTGCCGTGTGAGATACTCCTGCAAGTTTCCTCTAGCATGGAATGCGGTGATCAACCAGTACTGTTTACCAAGATCTGTCTTACGCTCCTCTGCCGTCAAGAATTGGAGGATGTTCTCGTGCTTGAGGTTTACATCTGAAAAAATGTCTTTCTCAGTTTTCCAGGAGGCATATTCTTCATAGGGGAAAATCTTGACTGCCACAGTTTCATACTGCTCTGATGTGTTTTGCTTCAATTTGGCTTTATACACTTCAGCAAACCTTCCTTTTCCAACAACAATGTCCAACTCAATGGGCAGCAATTCTGTGTTGTGGTTGATATTGTTGGCACAGGTAGAACTGATGTCTGAGCGGTCATCATCTAACATAATGGCACAAACATCACTGCAGTCCTTATGTTTCCTCGGCTTAACACTCTTCTCCCATGCCTTGTTGAGTTTCCTCTTCTTATGAGTGTGGTAGGCATAAAAGATAACAATGACAGCAACAGAAATCACCAGTAATGGGACAAGACTTATGATTGTAACTTTGGAAATTTCATCTTTCTCCTCCGGCTTATGAGGGTCATCTGTAAAGAAGAATAGAAGAAAGGCATACATTAAATAATATCATAGCTTTATGTATACAGGAGGCTGTTAATTATAATTTCTATTTAGAGTGCAATACATGATCTCCTCCACTGACAGTAAATATTAAAAATTGTCACTGCTTTCTTATTTTAAAATACTGTTTTGAATGCAGGCCTCCACTTACCACGACTTCACTGTTTGTTTATTTTATAAAAAGGCAGAACTGAATGAGGAAGAACCTAATGTAATTTAATAGCTTTTAAAAAATTATTAATATGGATGAAACCTTAATTTTCCTCAGTATAATAGCCAGTCTCCTATATTTACTCTGTCAATGTATTCTGAACAGATCTGCCCCTTTATCCAGTCATTACTAAAACACATTAATTTTTCTAAGATAAATAAATAAACAATGCAGCATGTGAATTCCTACTTGCTTGGTTATCACTCCAGATCTAATATATTTCAGTGGGATCCATGTAAAGACATCTTCAGGAAGCCTGCCCACATGCAACGACTACTTGTTAATATTCAAGCACAATATGTATGCCTGCATATACATCTGAAAAGCAAACCTCGTTCTCGTATTTTGATGTGAGAGTTCCTAGAACAAATTCAGACACCTGCATGTACACAGGTATTTGAATCCTACAGGCACAATCAGGCATGTGTGGCACATTGGAATTGTTCACCTCCCCATGTACTTTTTGCATGGATTCGTGTATCTAAAAACTTTTTTTTTTTGTATCACTTTCTGACTATCCTGTTGTAAAGCAGTAGATGGCTTATTTCAAACTCCATAGCTGGTGCAGTCCACACACACATTCTTATGTGTAATACATAGAAGCATATTCTAATACATAGAAGGACATATTCTAAAACAGGGAGACATAATGGGAACAGTACCAATCACTTTTCTAGTGGCGGGAGCTGCCCCATCACCTCTGGAAGTGACCTTCTAGTTCTGCATTTCTTACAGAAGATTAACAGTTTAAAAGGGAACAGTTTTATTCTGAAAACAGATTAAAGAAGGAGAGTCAGAGTTTATTTGAACCTGATTTGATCGGACACAGGGAAATGTACTCTCCCAGTCTATTTCTTCCTTTGAGTCAGAACAAACGTACGATATTATCTTTCCATGAAGGAGGGGATTGATTAGAAGCAGCCCTAGGAGTCTCACCTCAATGGACTAAAACAACAGAAGGTGCAACCAGAGCTAAGCAAGTAGCTTGTGTTGGCAGTGTGACACTGGCGGATGTTTACAGTAGTGTCACTGACTCATATTCTGTGTATCAGGCCAAATAAGTCAATACGAAAAGTTTAATAAGCTCTGAAAGAAAGTTGCCACTAACTACATTAGCCACAAGCTTCTGTTTTCCCTACTTTGTGCCTCTCAAAATGAAACGAAGGTGAGCAATGCTGAAAGGAGTGAGGGAAAAGAGTTTACAGTTAGAACAAGCAGTACCTCTGGCCCTCCAACTCCACTGGTAATCACTTTTGCATTTAAAAAAGTTAGCCAGAAAGCAGCTGGAACCATCAGATATTCAGAAGCAGGTGATGTGATATGTGAAGGGCATGTTCTTTGTTTGGAGAAAGATCTGAATCCTGAACCAGGATGGGCTTCCTCTGTTTGAAAGGTTCGTCAACTAGATGTAGAGCAAGTAATGCAATCCTTGCCTCTCTCAAAGGATTTCAAGGAAAAGGAAGTGTCTTTCTAGCACTGACATTCCTGGCTAGCACAGGTCAGTGGCATTCTTTAAAGCACCTACAAAGAATGTTTTTCCTTCATTTACGCAGAAGGACGGTTTAAGACAATTCCATTTTCCACATATATACAAACCACAAATCCTTATTCTCAAGAGATTTCCCTTGGCAAAAAAATGCTAGTAAATGTTAAACAAAAAACACTCCCAAAACTTAAAAGAATCACAGACCACAGGGACCCCTTCTGCTTCTCAACATGTGGAAGAGTGAAAAAAAAAAAAACCAACTTTTTTTCTTTTTTTTTTTTTTTTAATGGCCCTTACTGGAGGAATATATTTAGAAAGCCCAATGTCACTGGCAGTAAACAGAAGATTTGCATTGCTTATTTCTATGTGCATTCTTTGCTCTCAGAAAATCTGCTTTATAAAGAACTTGGGAAACAACAGTGCCGGAGGACTGACTACGCTCTGGGATGACTGTTTTGGACTTTCAGCTGCAAGCAGACTACAACTGCATGAGTGCAGCTATGAACTGTAACAATCAGCTTTGTTTTGATGAACATTTGGGGTTCTCTTTTGTTTTGGGGTTTGTTTTTTTTCTTTTCTTGCCACAGAAAAGCATGCTTTAAGTTTGGGCTCTGCTCTTGGAACTGAGTAATATGTCATCTCTACTATATGGTATACTTTTTTAACAGAGATGAACATGCATGTCTCTTTCAGGCCCTTTAAGCCCTTTTTCTTTGCCACAGAGCTGCAATATGTAGCCTAGATATTTGAAAAATAAATGTCGAATACCCCAAAAGGTATTGGGGTTCTCTTCCAAATTTCCCTGCATGAGTCCAAGCAGTTGAAGGTAATTGGTTGCATGCTCAGCTCTAACTAAGAGCCTTAGTCAAAAGCCACCACTCCTTGACTGTTATGGCTACCTTTTTAAGGGTCTCTGATCACCCCTATAATGCCCTAAAGCAGGCTGTCTTTATTTGGCCTACAGCTGAGAAGTCTCCAAACAGCCCCTTTGGCTCTTCCTCTTTTTGCACAAGAGAAAGCTTTGCTTGTGGTGCAGGGGGATTTCTGGGTGGAAGGGAGAAACTGTTGATGTCGCAAATGTCACTTAAAAAAGAATGAAAGAAAAAAAATTAATCAAAGCAGAAGCTGAGCAGTTCGGCCACTTCCCCTGTGCACTGCATTGTCCTGCACCCCTGCTGCAAAGTGACACATCCACTTTGGCACTCTCCCTTGGAGGAAGTGAGTGAAAAGCATACAGCCATACACCCCCACCTAAAGCAGCAGGGACATGCTCGTTTTCAGATTTTAAGACACTAGAGAAATGCCACTCAAGGCTTGAGATGTGCAAGAATAAGTAGCCAACAGGGAGAACTGAGTGTCAGGACTGACAAGGGTGAACCCTGAGCTTAGGAGGGGACAGCAGCAGCAAAAAAGCTGGTGGCACTGAGGGCTGGTCTGAGCAAGGCACTTCTGGAATTGATTTTGATTTTGACTGATAATATGAGCAGAACAAAATCAGCCCTTCTAGCACTAGGTAAGGTTGGCATAATTCTCTGTTGAATATGCGTACAAAGAGCAAGATCAAAATTCAGAGCATATCTGTATGTTTGCATAGTGGCTAGCCAACATTTTCTGGCTTAACTACAAGAATCTAAGAATAAATATGTTCATTTACTTATAAATGAATACCTATAACTCAAACCCTGTGATTTCAAAACTGGGAGTGCTGCTTCCTCTCTCTGAGCCCCAGAATGAGCAAAACCTGGCTGCAAACGCAGGCAATGAAATAGTTAAATGAAACAGTCTTTCAGGTTTTGGAAATGTGCTCTTAAATAACTTTCCCCACCCATAACTATTTTTTAGGTGGTTCAGTCTTTTCTTAAGCTTCAAAAGAGCCTATTAATACAGCATAACAATAGAGAAGTTGAGCTAAAAGAAAGCTTCCTGTATGTGGTTTAAACTAAGCACAAGCCATCTGCACAATCCTTAACACTACTTAAGCCTTTAGGGAATAGGGCTCAGGTGCCAAGGAAAATGGAAACACTGTACAGCCCCTGTTCAGTCAGGAAGCTTCAAAGCACAACAGCCTACAAATTCTTGAGGTTGAATTGGGTGCCTTTGAACTTCGATGTCACTGAACCTCAGAAACAAGAAATAAAACAATGGCAGTAGAATTAAGGACCTGCACCTTAATGCACAGGGCAGCAGAATTGCACAGCCAGTACTGACAGAAGTACTTCAGTGCTGTTTGCTGCTCATGCAAGTTCTACAGTCGCTGCCTGTTCATGTGCTAGTCAAAGCCACATAGCAAGGCAAGAACATATTTGATATTGGCTGAACTCAGGTGATGTATTGCATCTGATGTATTGAAAGCTTGTCTAGTGTCTTAAAAACCTCCAGAAATGCAGTCACAAAGTATGGGCTTGGACCTAGAACTGTGATCTAGTTATTCTGCAAGCTCCTGAGACACAAAGCAGCCCTTTGAGCTTACTGGAGGACAACTCTGTTTTGCAGCAATTTTGAGGTTTCAAAGTTTGGTTTCAATTCCATGCTGGAATGAAAACTAAGACTTTTTGAATGCTTTTGCAAAACCAGAATTCTGTTCAAATCTTGCAATTTGGCAAGAGATTTGAGTGCTGAAACCCCGTAAGTGAGGGGACTAGTTAGGGGTATGGAAGCTCCAAATTCAAGTTCTGCTCTGATTTGCAGAAGAGCTTTTCGTCTCTGATTATTCTGAATTTGGCAAAATGAGAGTTTGAAACTTATGTGTGGACTGATTGCTGAGTGAGACACTCAGTAATAAAATATGGAAAAGTCTCCCCATCTCTTTAGTGCTACTTTCTGGATGAAAACTAATTCCATAAAATGCTTCATTTTCAGTGAAATGAAGTTTCAATCTGAGCAGCTGTTCAGGGTAATTTAGTTTATTGCTATTGAAGAATCCTCAAGTGAGAATGAAATTCTTCAGTTCAGTGGAGTATCTCATGTACCTTCCTGATTTTGGTCCTTTTAGAATTAAATGGCTTGGAAATCTTCAGCAAAACATTTTTAGATGGGAAATGTCAGGGAAAATTCTCAGGAAAAAAATTCTGCTTTTGGCATTCCTGTCCTTTTCCATGGAACCTCTAACTTGAGGATAAAAGTGCTGTGAAAGTTGATCCACCTTTTGTGTTTTAAAACTTCTGCTAATTTTACTGGCATTGTTTTTTGGGGCTTTGTGAAGTGGGGGTGGAGAGCTTTTTTATTGTGGGGAGTGTGCTTTTTCCCTAGGAAAATAGTTGATCCTGACA